ATTTTTGATACAGTTAAGGTATAATGTAAAAAATTTAATTTTTTAGGATATAAAATAAAAAATTTTAAAATTTTTTTGGATAGAATTAGCTGATTGAAATAATTTACATAAATTTAGAAAATTAAAAATCAAGTAAATGGTTTTTGGGTCAAAAAAGACAACTTGATTTAAAAAGACCCTTATGTCCTTATACGTTCAACTACATTCAACTCTCTGTCTTCCTCGTCAGCTGCCACTGGTGCGACGAACCTAGCAATGAATGGCAGCAACTGTCATAATCGGTGGTGCTTAGATGAGAGACGATTTGAGCAATGAATTGAATGGCGACAACGAGGGGTGTTAATCAAGCTAAATTTGAGTCTAATAATTCGACTATTTACACATAAATGAGTCATAAAAAATGTTCAAACTTGATTTATTTAAATTTAACAACAATGGTGACTGCCTACAGTTTATTCATCGGTTGTCCAATCAAACCTAAAGTTGCCGCTTTTTGAACAAGGGTAAAACTGTCAAAAAAAATAATATGTTGTTCCTTAACTGGACCACACGTCTAATAAACTTCAACACAGCGGGATTAAAGCCTTAAAACTTAGACCAATGTTACTTGAACTTAAAATTGATTTTATTTTTTATTTTTGCAGAGTGTTCGACCTTGCATTGACTATTCTCTCAAGATTAGTAGCTGACCACTGTGACTTGAATTAAATTAGAGTATGCGACAATAATGATTAATAAGTAACGTTTGATAACATTTTAAATATTAGTTATTATTTTTCTTATCCGGACTTGCTATCATCATTTCCTCAATTTTGTTATATTTTCCAACTAAGAGTAAGATATATGTCCCAATATTTGAGAAAAAAATAAATAAAAGAAAAGCAATGATTGATTGACCAAAAACATGATTAAATATCAACGAATCAAACTAAGTCTTATATCTCAATCTTTTAGGGTTGGCTACATGAGTCTGTCTTCGACATTTATTTCGATCATGCGTTATACGCTCATTTAAGTTTAATATTTTAATATATTTATTTATTATTTCGTTTAATATTAATTTAGGCTTACCCCTAATACCATTAAAAGAAATTATATCACTTTTCATAACCAATGTCTCTATCGATCTTTATTGAATATGATCAAACCATCTTAATCTATTATTTCTCAATTTATTCTCAATTGGAGTTACTCCTACCATTTCTCTAATACAGTCATTTTATCGTTTAGTAATATCAAAAAAGGGGGACAAAATGATGTAACATTATTTTCACACATTTGAAAGTTAATTTTTTTTATTACAGTAATATCACATAATTTGACTCTTATTTTTTGTTCTATTTTTTAGTGAATCTATCAGTACTCATAAAAGAAACGAGTAATGTTATTTAGACTTAACAATCAGACCTAATTATTTGATTTTATTGTAACATTTAGATTAACACTAAATTTTAATATTTAATAGAATTCACAATCAATTCCATAAATATAGTGCATTAGATCAATAAATTACGTAGCATTGCTCTAATAGCCTGTTTGGTATCAAGGAAAAAGAAGGGGATGAAAAAAGAAGAATGAAAAGTAAGAGAGAAAATAAGATTTTCTATTGTTTGGTTGGAATGAAAAGAAGAGACGAGAGAAAAATGCTTGGAAAATTGTTCCATCCCTTCCACCATTTTTTTTTTCTCCAGAAACTGAGCGGAAAACATGCAGGAAAGGTGTTTGAGTGATTAAATTATTGGACAATTCTATCCTTACCAAAATATTTACTAAAAAATACGTTTGTCAAATGAGTTGGTAATCCTATATTCAATTAAAAATATTTTGATGCATTTTATGGGTCCAAAAATAATATAAAATTGTCAACTCATTTAATAAAAATATTTTTTCATAAAGTTTTGATATGTATAACATTTTCCTAAATTATTTGTATATCCTCCTTTGTAATATCGCCCACCTTGCAGCCTTTTTATCTGACAATTCACTTTACATTTTCTCTCTTTTTGCAATTTCAAATCCAAGAACTCATAAAAGTGAGGTACACGTCCTTCAATTTTATTGGGTTAATTTTTAATTAAAGGGCATTTTCCCTCTTTTTGCAATTTCAAATCCAAGAACCCATAAAAAGTGGGGTCCACACCCTTCAACTTTATTGGGTTAATTTTTTATTAAAGGGTATAAATGGTATTTACCAAACACAAAAATGGAAAATAACTTTCTTTCTACGAAGAATGAAAAGTTACGGCATAAACGAAAGGGTTAATTTTAATTTGTACCTTGAAAGATTATTTAAATTTTAATTTATACCCTTAAAATTTAAAAATATTAATTTATACCCTAAAAGACATAAATTTATATCAATATGCACTGGAGGTTAACTTCTATTCACTTTGCAGTTAAAAAAGTTTTGGATAATTATAAATTGCACATTCAAAGTTTAAATATTTTATATTTATGATTAAAAAAGAATTTTATCTATTAATACTTGTTAAAATACATCTCAATTGTGTCGTATCATGTTATTTTGTGTCATGTCGTATCATTTTCGTGTTGTGTTTAAGTCGATAAAAAAAATACTTTTAGCACAAAATATTTTCGTGTCGAGTCAATTGCATTGTGTCGTATATTTCACATTTACGATAATTTATATAATATTATTTAATATTTTTTAACAGTTATAAAAATACTTATGTTTTGCCTTCAATACTCGTTAAATAATTATTTTTTGTCTACAGTTGTGTTATTAATATCTAACTTTAATTTGATCGAACCAAAAGATTTATGTCTAACTGTAGACAGAAAATAACTATTTTACAAGTATTGTAAGCAAAAAAAATAGGTATTTTATATTTTTAAAATTTTAAAAATATTTTTTTGTTAACTCGAACATGACACGATACAATTAAATGCTATTTAACGGGCATTAATGAAAAAATTCTTTTTTGGATCATAAATATGAAATATTTAAATTTTAAGAGTGCAATTTATAATTAGTCTAAACTTTTTTAACTGCAAAATAAATAGCAATTAATCTCAGGTACACAGTGATACAAATTTATATTTTTTAGTGTATAAATTGATATTTTTAAAATTTTGAAAGTAAAAATTAAAATTCAAAAAGATTAATCTTAAAAGAATCATAACAGTTTGGAGTGGGCTGGTCGGTTTTGTAAATAACCACCCATTCCTGTTGGGGAAAACGGTTTTATTTATCAAACTTTTACCGTCAATCAGCTGCTTCAAGTACGAGAGACCTATACAATACCTACTTGAATTTTGCACAGATAACAGAGAGAGACTCATATATACTATACAAATATCTACAGAGAGAGAGAGATTAGGGAGAGAAAATGACAGACGTGAGACGAAGATAACTCTGTTCTTACTAAGGACATAAAGATACGCAAAGATAAGGACGAATTCTGATTTATTTATCGCGCGCCAAGCAGTTTAGTTGTTCTATATAAACCCCTCTTGTCCTGTGTTGTTTTGCTACCTCTAAGCTCTCTTCTCACCCCCATTTTCTCTGGAAATCTTTGGGTTCGCTTTCTGGGTTGTTTTAGCCCTTCGTTTCTACTTTCTTGGGAAGTTTCTTGACTCGGATTTGTTCAAGTTTTACTGAAACAAGTAGTAAAGAAGATATGACTAATACTGCACATTTTGTGTTTGGAATTTTTGGTGAGTTTTCATTGCAATTTGGAGTTGTTGTTCTTTCTATCCGTGTCTCTTTAATTCTTTTATTGGGGTTTTCTTTTTCTTTTTCTGTTCTCATTCTTTTCCTTGGGTTTCTGTTTTTCTTTTGCAATTCATAAGTTTGGCTTTGTTTCTTTCACACAGGAAATGCCACTGCTCTGTTCCTCTTCTTGGCACCAACGTAAGCATTCTCTCTCTCTCTCTCTCTCTCTCTCTCTCTCTCTCTCTCTCTCTCTTCTTGTGCTCAGAAG